CTCACCAGCTAGCACCAGCCATGACACTCAATAATGTAACTCAGCGCACACATGACAGCTACTTGTTCCAGGTTGTCCCCCATCAGTCCACCTTCATGACGGAAGGCGGAGCCAAGTTGTCCATAGTATATACAGTCTATGATTGTCACGCATGTTTTTCATGCTGTAAATACAAATAACTGAGTTTTCTGGAGCTGAGTCGCAAAAGAGTGAGCCATCTTGCATCCTCCATATCTCTGTAGAAAGTTGCATGTGCATAACAGTGACTAGGAAAGTGGCCGGAGATTAACTTGGAGTGTGTAATTGCACTCCTGTATGTATGAGTGTAAGCTTTAGTGTGCACTATACGTGGTTTTGGAGGATATGCTGCAAAGCACAGGTCATCCTCTAACTTAAATGTTCGTAATGTTGAGATTCAAAACAACAGTAGTGCTCACTATCTAATTATTACAATCACCGATGACCGGACGACCTAATAGTTGTTAGTTGCAGCCCTTTACCTTACTTAACAGGTCACAAATTTAGAGGTTAATTAGCACAAAATTCTTCAGTAAGTTTCCAACACAGTTAAAACAACAAACTTTTTCAGTATATGCATCAAAAAATATGTGCATAAAATGATCCACTGAAACACAGAGAGCTTTATTCAGTGAGGATTTTAAACATTCAGGGTTTGAAAGCTTTGCAATTAGGAAGAAGTCTGCACCTTGTTTCAGGTGAAAAATGCAGAAAAAACCTGAGGCTTTCCTTCCCCTCTAAGTTTGAATGATGAATTGCAAAGCGCCCAACGAATGAAGGCTGAGATTCGATTCCGCAAGATTAAAATAGAGAGAGAGTAGTTCTTAATTTTGCACAGATTGGCTTTTTAAATGAAGTGTTACCAATGCACAGGCCAGTGCAGACCTGAGGCAGTCCAATTCACAGTGAGAGTACCCCCCTGAAAAACACTGAGGCTGAAGGAATAAGTGAGTTAAAGAAGAGAAGGGGTAGACAAGTAAAGGTTTTTGTTCAAACGTTAGAAATCTCCTTAAAAAGCGAGGATTTATTCTTCTATAGTCATCACTTCTGGGTCCCACTCTTTAATGCCTTAAAACGTATCCCAAAACAGAATAACATTTCAGCTGCAAGTTTATGATGAACACAAAAGTGAATCACAGCCAACCTCATACTTTAACACAACCTGCAGTCTCAGCTGTGCGGTACAAATTGTGACATATGGTGCAGACCATCTGAAAAGCGCGTACTCTAAACTCCTCTGCAGACACTGCCAAATATAGGTTGTGAAATATAGGCTAGTAATATGTATTTTCATCCCCAAGAGGCTCTTGAAAACCCACAACCTCTTTTCCCTCCTTCACAAGCGTACAAAAAGGGAAGCGTAACAAGCTTGTCTCTGCGTACACGTGAGTTTCTTTTTTCTTCTTCTTAACATTTGGAGCTGAAAGGATTGGACTCCAGACAACAGTCTTCAGAGAACTTAACGATCGTGCCATCTGGAGGCAGGGAAGTGTTGTAGCCGCTGATATCGATCATCTTTTTACACTTTCGCTCTCACAGATGGTAAAAGAAAAAACGCCATCTGGGTGCAGGTGTCGGTGCTTTGAAAATGAAAAGCAGCCCCGACAAAATATCCATAAAAATTCTTGTCCTGACACTTCCTAAAAGTTTACTTTAATAAGCGGCTTTTAATGTGCGGGACTTTTATGATCGTTTACGTGGACAATCTTTCATGTAACCTCAGTGCTTTTTAAGCTTTAGACAAATTTAAAACTTCAATTTCATTCACTCGAATCCATTTTGCCTTTAGAGACCACCTTTAGAGCATTTTCTACTATCTGCACAGTGAAAGAAAACAGACTAATGCGTATCTTGTTTGTGCATTTTATTTCATGGTTGTCATTTCACATGAATAACTGTAAAGTGCTGCAACATCAGACTTCTCTTTGCAGAGATCTTCAAAGTCACAGCTTTGCATTTTTAACACTCCAGGACAATGCTGCCATCAAGTGGTCAATTTCTTTTACTACACCTACATGTACATCTCATCGTCTCCTGCTCTTACGCTCCTGGTTATCATCATCAACAGCAGCATTATCATCATCATCATCATCATCATCATTATCATTACAGTAATGCCACCATTAGGCCACCTCCTCTCCTTTTGTCTCCCCCAGAAGCAGCTGCCCCATTTATCACAAAGTACAAAGTCCATAATGCACCACTGCCAAATGGGTCACTGAGAGGTGTGTGTCCTCATAAATCCTCCGTTTATTTGCAGTAGAGTTGCTCCACGCATATGGAGTCCCTTCAAGTGTGGCAGGACGAATGTTCATAATCATGATTTTTGTCACGGCGATTTAACCACTAGATGTCACTGTTTACCATTCGGTCCTCACAGCAGGAGTGAAGCACACCTGTATCACAGACGCAGCAGTTAGAGAGTATGAAAACAAACACAGGATCAGTTTTGTTGTTGTTTATATGTTTCTCTCATACATTCGTGCGATGAAAACCAGCTGCAGGGACGAACTCACACAGGTGTTTACTGCATACAGGTGACTGGAGCCCTGCCATGTGGATTATTATGTAACCCTGTGAGTGTACGTCTACCTGACAGTGTAAGAAGAACACACTGGCCCCATATTTTTATGAAATCTTAATTATTTAGAAGTGATGTCTCAACTTAAGATTCATTTTAATCCTGACATCTGAAGACTTGAGTATCAGCCAAGAGAGTTTCTCTATCTACTCAGTACGAGAGCACATTTATAATGTACATTTTCTTGGCTCTTCTTAACATTATGTAAGGGAGTTTATCATGTTTTTAACTCCATTTGCTCTAATATGAGATTCATGTATCAAACTGTGTAAACTGCTCCAGGGCGCTTTCCTTCTGTTCTATTATATATGGTCTTTTCTGCAGCTTTGAGAGACATGCCCGAGGCCAGTCGCACTAATGTGTGCGAAGTCTGTGTGTTGTTGTCTGTATCCACACACCTTATGGACTCATGTAACTTAGTGGAGATAAGTCCAGGGAGGGGTTATAGTAACATACTGTACATGTACGGTATGTCTGTTTAATAGGAATGTATATTTATGAGCAATCTGCTGTAAGGAGCCAACAGTGTGATTGTCCTGTAGAGCAGAGTTCAGAGGTTTATTTAATTTAGAGATGTATGGCTATGGTCAGCTAAAGGAATCATCAATATTTTTATATACAGACCCTTTCCAAAATATTAGAATATCATTGAAAAGTTTATTTATTTCCATAATTCCATTCATAAAGTTAAACTATCATAGATTATAGATTCAAGGCCTACAAACTAAACGATTTCAAGTATTTATTTGTTTATTTTTACATAATTTGGGCTTCCAGCTCATTAAACCCACAAAAACAGGAATTCAAAAAATTAGAATACTCAGAATATTAAAAAATATATATTTTGGGGCTTTTTTTTTTTTTTTTTCCAGTGGTCCTAATCCTCTTCCATAGAAATAAAACATGTGAGTTATTTGTGTACGCTGGTTAATTTAACGAAGTCATTCTCGCTCCACCCTCATGTTGTTTTATTTCAAAGCTTCCTGGAAAACATGATGACAATATCAATATAATGATATTAAATAGCCATGATAATCGATATTGTGACAGCCCTGTTGCACATATTAGCCACACACTTAACATTTTATAACATCTCTGTGTTGAACCAGCCATCACCGTGTAGTGCAACTGAATTAAATCAGAATCATTCTCTCTTTACTTCCATATCTTAAGTAGATAATTGATGACGTTATTCGCTCAGTCCAATGTCCTGTTTATTCGCCAAAACCTCATATCAGATTAAAAGGCGATTTGGGTGGACAGTACTGCTGTAACTGTGCTGTTGTTTCCTCTCAGCGCTCAGTTCTTGGTTCCCTAATCAAAGCTCACCAATGAGAGGATGTCAGCAGCTCTGAAGAGGTCTTTATCCAACAGCATCCAGTAACTGAAACAATGATCAAAATCAACCATCTCTGGTTTACAGTAGGCTGCACTTCACTTGCTGTGTTTTGTCTCCACTTAGCCGATAACTGGAGACTGTAATCACACTGAGAGACAGGGACAGAGAACACGGCTCAGATCTATCTGGCCCTCACCTGCAGACTCCAGCGTGCCTGGAGGCTGCAGCCTGTTGAAATACACAGCGTGAGGAGACTGCGTGAGGCCTGCAGTCAAACCCGGTCACACTCCGACTCAGAGGGATCGCGCTCTGTAACAGAAATAATGCCACACTCGAGCAGCAATCAAAGAGGTTTTTCATCTCTCTCTGCTGTGATTTCTCATTGAAGAACATCAAAAGGATTCGTTTCTACTCCTCTCCCTCGGAGAGTGTGTCACACCGTGTTTGAACTCAGATTTGTTGGTGTGTCTGTTCGTTTTCTCCCTCTCCCAAAGATTTGTGTTTATATTTAGCTGTCCATTCACCTGTTGTGTATATTAAATCCAGGGACCAGTCGAGATTTTCTCAGCTCCACATGAAAGTGTAGTTTTTATAAAAACACCCTGGGCGTTGTGAAATCTTGGCAGCATGCTGTGTTTACTCAAAGTTGAGGTGTAGAAGTGAAAGTAAACAGAAGATCATTTCTCCTGGGCGTCTTCTTTTTTTCTCTTTCTTTTTCTTTTGTAGGGAACTTAAATTTACAATCTGTTAACCAGTTGCTCTAGTCTACACTTGGACAAAACTCTGCACAGTTGTCATGTTGAGGATGTGAAAAATCCACCATCATAATTACATGTAATACATGCAAGTTCACATTTGTATGGAAGCCCAAAGTGGACATGCATCCAAACATTTTATTTGCTTTGATAATTATTAATTCCAGTTTTTTTCCTTGTATCATGATTTTCTGTCATAAGAGTGTCCTTAGTTGCTCAAGCACAAAGAAACAAATGTAGAAATATAACTAACTCACCTCATGAAATACCAAAATCCACAGACAACAGCGGACGATGCTATTGTGTCATGACTAAGGCCAGCTTTCAGTCACCACAACGGCACCAGGTTAAAAGATGGAGAGACACAGTGACCACCGGCAACGTTGGTGGAGTCGTGATGCTGATTTTAAAAAACTGTTATCACTGCAGGGGCGGCTGGAGCTCAGTGTTAGGTCAGAAAACTCAGGGGTTGATCCCAGCGAGACACTTGACCCCAATTTTTCCAGGTGGCTGTGCCCAGACCTGGAAACGCACTATACAAACACAGTCATCAGCGTGAGCCCAGAGTCTGTTTTTTGAGACAAAGTGTGGGGTTGTGTGTGAGAGATGGGCGCAGCATCTTCTCACATCCAGACAGTTTGAGTGAAAAGCCGACCTCAGACAAGTATGTGGATGAGAATGGCGAGAATACCTTCAGTGGTCATTTCTTGGTGTCATCATTTGACAAAAACTCAGACAGAATTCTAGGGCTGCCCGATCAATCAATTTCAAATCGTAATCGGATTATTTGATGATGACGATGTTAAAAAAAATTATAATCAATCACAATTTTCCTCTCTATCATGTCTCGCGCCTCCAGGCCACCGTAGGCTCCCCCATCCTGCGAGAACGCTCCCCGGTTCCCACACACACCAGTGTAAACAAACATGGCGTTTGCAAAAGAAATCGATAATTTCGTGGTTAAATAGGACAAGAGCGAGTCAATTGTGTTGAATTTGTACGACTTCACAGTTTCAGATGAAGAGGAAACCACTCCCCGCTGCAAAGTCTGTCTGAAGGTAGTATCAACCTGTCCACACGGAAACAAATTCAGGAGGAAACGCAAAAGATTTTTGTTGTATCCGCGTTTCAGAAACGGCGTTTCAGGTGACTGTATACGGTACTTTTTGAAAACGGGTCAGAGAGTGTATAAATCCGTAAACGACTAACATTTCATCTCCGTGTGGATGTCTATCTGCATCTCTGGAAATGATCATGTGACACACAGCATAACTCTTTTATGGCGCCTGCACGTGTCTGACCAAAACAACGTTTAACACATGCTCTGTACTCTTCTTCTGTCTTTTGTGCATTTCCTCAGCAGTGTTACAGCACCACTTACTGGCTTGGCATATGCACTACATCATTTTCAGTGGTTTCGTTTTGAGAGATGATTAAAAAAACAAAAAAACATTATTTTTAAAGTGAAGTTTGGTGAAGTTGTCACTGAATAAAAAATTGAAAATCGAGTTTTCAGAGAAAAAAATCTGGATTTTATTTTTGGCCAACATTATGCAGCCCTACAAAATTCTAATAAAAATTAGTGCTCAGGAAACAAAGGGATCAGATATCCACTCTTTCATGATCATCAGCCCTTTATATTATCATAGAAATATCTATCACACACTGCAGCAGGTGATTCCTCCTGTTTGTGTCAAATACACCTCTTTCCACTCTTTGTTGCCTTAAAAGCTGACGTTTAATCTTCAAATTTTAACATCAAATAATTCACCTCCTGATTTGTACAGAGAAATTGGCCATTTCAAGCTAAGTGAACAACAACGCAGTAAAGATGAAATACGGCAACAACATCCAGCCTGTTAGTTCTGCCCTGTTAACAATCTAAGGCGCGGTACAAGTCAATAAATCACCAGGAAAACTGACCCCATTATCCTGAGAAAACTTGCTCTGTCACCAAACTCTGTTTCTAATTAGGATTAATGAGCTAAAGTCTGGCTCGTCACACAAATATGTCGTAAAGAGTCCAAACTGATAGGAGGTGAGAAATATAAGACTTTTATTTTGTCATAAAATCCAAACAAATGAGAAAGGACATCTATTTACTCTTTGAAAGAATAAAAAAAAAACTTTTGTCTCTGATCAAATAAATTTAGTCACGCCACTTATTCATTTGTTTTAGCTGAACTATGATGATAGCCGTGCCGGCACATCTGCCTCCTCTGTTGTCTGAGTGTCTTTGAAGTCGTGAGGGATACAGAGAGAGACACAGCAGAAATACAGGATAATTAAATGAATGAATAAATATGAATGACTCTCGTCAGTGTGGCTCTGAAATGCTGGAACCCACTTAAGAAGAATAGTGATCAGCAGTCGGAGGATGAGCTCTGACATCGCTGGCTTTGCTTTAAGACACAATGGAAAATATTTGAGTGTAGCCAACACAGAACAAGAGCAGAAAAAGAGCTCGGTCACAGTCTTAGTCTCATCCTGGCTCAACCACAAGGGTGCGTGATGTTGGGCCCTTTGATGCCAGGCCTGTTTACATGACATAATGATGCCCATGCTGTCAGTTTAAAGCATCGGATCCTCCCACAGAAGACACTCATCAGAGATTCACAGATGGTGTGTGTGGTGCGGGAAATGCGCCTCATTATTATGAGGGTAAAATGATATGAACTCAGACTGCAGTCTTTACTGTAAGTCTGTGTTTATTGTCATGTGTGTTCTGGGAAAAAAGAAAAGAATTGAGACCATGTTACAGGGAGAGACAATCACAGAAACCGATTTTAAAAGAGTTCAACATGGGTGTAAGATGCTGCGTGGTGTGTGAAGGCCCACTTTGGAGCCTAACTGCTGAGAGCTGTGTTTACTATAGGTGGAACAATTTGTCAAACAATGACACTATAAATGCAGTTTTAGGGAGAGGAGTCAGTTTGCGGTGCGTAGCGCTCTTCCTCTTAGCCTCTCTTGTTCTTTATCTGGTATACATTCGCAGAGCTGCATTTGCATGTGGATGCATGCGTGTTTGCAAACATGCATATCATGGTTACACATGTGGTCGCAAAAGAGGATTTTTGATGGGTTTAAGGCATGCAGTTTGTAGTTCTGACAAACCAGATTTAAGTTTAACCCGCAGCGCTCGTACAATGGGAACATTATTTTATTTTGTAAGAAGGCACGGCTGAAGACAGTGTCTGCTGTATTTATTATAAATGACTTTGAGGACCCTATTTTGCAGCATGGGTGGTCTTAATCGGACTAAATGTTCTGTTTTGGGGATTTCTGAACCCACTGAGTTATATGCTCTTTTAGGGCTGGGCGATAAAACGATATATATATATATATCAAAAATAATTTCCCCCGATATTGATATGAAACATGGTCTATAGCTGGCATTCTTTCATGTTTTGGTAGACTATACGACTAGCCAATGAAAAGGGGAGTTGCTCTGAGTCCATGCCAGGCTGAACCAATCATGTGCTGGATTAGAACCAAGTAACAAACAACTGCGTAATAGCAGACAGCAGCTACATGCAACCATAGAACTTTAACACGTGAAGCCGACAGCACTGTTGGTAAGAAAAAAAGAAAATGAGTGGTACCCCCGACAGAAATGCAGATGACGGCTCAACAATGGTGGCCAAGAACCGCCACTGCTGCAAAAAAAAAAAGAATGCCAAAAAAAAAAAAGAAGCCACAACAGAAGTTGATGACACAAAAAAAGTGGCGATGAAAAAAAAAAAAAAAAAAGGGACTAACTGCGAAAATTAAAGGACTCAAAAGCCACAACCGAAGTGAACTGCCGGGGACCAATAATGGTGATGCACCGATGTTTTAGGATCTAGCCACAGAAAACAACAGCAAGAAGATGAGCAAAGGAGTGGAAAGGTTATCGTTTAATATCGCTTTACGGTTCGGTTTCTTTACCCATACAAATAAGTACGCAGACTCTCACTTTTTTAATATTTAGTCCCCGGCCCACACTTCCATTGTGGCTTTTTTTATTTGCACCCTCATATTTTCACAGTAATTTATTTATTTATTTGCATCGCCACTTTTTTTGTGTCATTAACTTCTGTTGTGGCTTTTTTAAAATCTGCACAGTTTTTTTCTTTTATTTGCAGCGAGCTTCGGTTTCTTTTTTTGCATTGGTAACTTCCGTTGTGGCTTCGTTTTTTTTTTTGTTTGTTTGTTTCTTTTTATTTGCAGCAGTGACGATTTTTGGCCACCATACTCAACAGATGACATGCTACCAATAAGCACTGTTAAATTTCATTTAAGAGTAACAGGGAACATTTAAGTTTGAAAAAGTGTTTTTTATATGGCGATATACATCGATATCAACTGAAATTGAAAAAAAAAATTGTGATAAACTTTTTCCCATATCGCCCAGCCCTACGCTCTATCCTTAGTATGTTGCACTCTTGTTTACTGTTCCTCAAAATCTTCAAGAGTCACCATTTTGCAAAACGATTCCCGGGACAGCTGAGGCTATCGCTAAGGAGATTCAAGTGTTTATGGTAAACCCAGCAGGTGATAGCTAATTAGCTAACACCACAATGAGCTGAGTTCAGAAGAGGAGCTCTGGTGTCACAGGTCGTGTTTTTCGGCCTGAGGCAGAGGAGAGGCTGAATCTGACCCCAGAGTCTGGTTCCACTGTGGACTTTCCCTCCACAGCCCAGAGGGCAGAAAAGAGACGCAGGAAATAAGGAGGGAGTAATGACAAATAGACCAAACCTTTTATACTTCTGTTAGAGGATTCATTAACCCGTGAACACTATCGTGAAAATTAGTAACGTCATCACTATCGCTGGGTGATTTTTACCTGTAATAATACACCCAAGAAAAAGTACCTGTCCTCATAATATATCAAAATCGGAAAATACATGACAGATTAAAGTAGTTTTCTTTTATTTGTAACTGTGCAGTGTCCAAAGGGAGGAAAAAAGGGCCATGAGGGGACCATATAAAAATACAACAAAATAACTGAAATTATGCATTCATGAACAAAAAATTCCTATATACTTATATATATATAGGATATATATACTACCTATATTCCTATATAATTATATATATATATATATATATATAGAGAGAGAGAGAGAGAGAGAAACTGTAAACTTAGTTTCTTTTCCACCCATTCCTCAGGGTCCTTGACACAACAACAGCTGCAGGAGAGAGAACCAAAATATGGCAGATTTTGAGTAAAAATGACCAGCTGACTAAAATATTTCTCATCACCATATGAATTCCCTTGAAAATCACTACTTTGTGAAAGTTATTCATAACCACTGCGCTAAATAAAGATAGCATGCAAATTCCAGGACCGCTCTTACTGACCTTATTCACCTACATGCAGCTATAAAATCCACCCAAACCTACTTTACCCTCTATCACCCTGTAGGAAAAAGCCGGTTTTGGATCAGTAAAACAAGTATGCCTTCAAAGATGTCAAAGGAAATGCTGAAGCTACCCAGGGACCCATGATACTAAGACAAACTTAACACCATGAAAATCACATAAGCATGTTTGGTCGGGTGAAAATCACCCGGCGATTGTGTTCTAGGGTTAAAAACTTTCTCTCATGCAGATCTGACACTCTACTTTCTGTTGAGTCTCACTCTCCCCCCACTCCACCAGAACACGTCCCAGATGACTAAACAAATAGTAAAACGTAGCAGAAAGAGCCTCGTTCTCCTTCAAAGTACAGTATGTCTGTTAACCACCTGGGTCGGCAGAAAACAAAGAGCTATGACTTACCATTCAGCACCTCAGCTTCCTGTCCTCTATCACCCCATTCAGTCTCCCTGCAGAGCTCTGATGGTTAAATGTTGGACATGAGTTCCAGCTTTTCTTGACAGCTCTGCGGTGCTTGTGGTTTCTCTCTGCCTCTGAAGTTCCTGCAGATTAAACGACGGGAAACGGGAAAAAGAGGGACACACATCGTGTGATGTCTGTATGCATTTTCTAGTGCTTTCCTCTTAACTCTGGAGCTATTTTTGAGTGTTTGATTATGCCATCATGCAGTCACAATCAATGACACAATCCGAGAGCGGAGCGAGTGCAGATGATGGAGAATGTTGGCAGCAGTTGAATGTCATCTATTGACTGTCATGCAGAACAGATGCTCTTTAATGGAGAGTGAGTGAGTCACTTTCATTGACTATAAAAAGCTTTAATAAAGTTCTGAGTTTGTGCATGTGCATGCTTTGGATTTATTGGGGATAAGAATATGAAAAGAATCAGGAGTCAACACATGGAGGCGTTTTATGGTCCCACATTCCCAGTAAGTCACACACGATTGAATTCCCACTTTGTCACTTCATCGCAAAGCAAAGTAATCCAGTGATTTGTACATAACAAGAAAAAACACTTAAACACACTGGTTCCATGATACTTTACCAGCCTATCTGACGTCAACGGAGCAGAACTTTGAGTATAAAAAGTGCAAAAATCTGGAAAACATGCAGACTAACCTGAAAAACATTTATAAGATTAGATGTATTAGCAGTTGTGATTCAATATCCGAGCTAATATGCTGAATAACTGATGTAGTGTGAGAATCAGAGAAACTATAACCTCACATCAGATAATAAAATATAAAACAAATAAAATAAATCTCTGCTGGAGGACGACGTTGCCAAACGCGTTGTAAGCAATAAAAACACGACGCCGTGTGCCAGAGAACCTGCTGCTTTAACATCTGGTAGCATCAATTTTCAGAATTTATGACTCAAACACGAAAAGCCTGCTAATCTGTTCTGTTATTTCTTGGAGTTAAGGTTCGGCGCTTTTATGTGTTTGGACTTCAAGGCTGGTGCAAAATACTGCAGCTAATGTTTCCCCTGAGGTTAGCCGAGCAGATTTTGAGTAATTAACCAAAATCTGGATATAGAATGGACGCCATCTGTCTCCTTGCTGGGTGAAGTCACCGCGAGAACAGCACCCTCTGGTGACGGGCTGCAGTATAGGTCATAAATCCCGCCTCCTCCCGCAATCCCTATGGAGCTGTGGACACGCCTTTGAAATTTATTACCGTATTTTTCGCACTATAAGGCGCACTTAAAGTCCTTTTGGCTTGTCGGAGCACTGCAGCTATCGTAGCCTCGCAGAGTTATTGAATGAGTTAAATCAAGTATGACTTATCTGACTGTTTTGTTTGGCTTAATGCACTTTATAATCCTGTGCACCTTATAATCTGGTGTGCCTTATGTATGGAAATAGACGTGAATAGACGCGTTCATTGAAGGTGCGCCTTATAATCAGGTGCGCCTTATAGTGCGAAAAATACGGTACACAGAATATAAATTTTTCTCCCCCCGGTTTCGATGTTGACATTGTGGGGGAAAATAACAGATATGTTTGGATGTTTTGGAGGTTACCATGAGGCAAGAAAACAGGTTATGGGTGGAGTGGTCAGATTGGGATAAACTTCATATCAGGTCATGGTGACCCTCTCCCATGGTAGCTTGATTGCAATAACAGGAAATCTGGCTCCAAAAGATAGTGGCAGAGAAAGTCATGAAGGGGACTTTCGCACGCACATTTGGCTAAAACTAAGGTCCCTGACGTCAATGGAGGACTATAAAAGATATGTGGATGGACTGTTTTTGGTTCTGTCTGTTCGATTGCTCATGAGCTATTGTTCGATGCTGTGATCGGAATAAAAACCCCGCCGAGAGGCTGCCAGCTTGATTCTGTCTTCGTGTAGTTCATTTCTGCACTTTTGCACCGAGGTCATCTTCTAAATAATTGGCGAGCTTCAGCCCAGATTTTGCCGAGGCCCGGGGCGTTGGCCTCCCCACGCGAGTGAAATCCACGTGCCGGCACACAAAAGGTAAGAGAAGTTTACTTCTCTATTAGATGTGTGATTTCACTGTGTGGTGAGACCATCGTGTGTTTGGGCCCGCGCAAAAGAAAGAGTCTAGAATCAAAGGAAGCAGAGTCGGGTGGAGTCTCTCGCGTGTTATTCATGTATACATGAAGGCTGCTCCAAAGTGTGTGGAAAATTGTGAGACAGACAAATTAACCATTGGCGTCAAAGCAGCTGAAAATCTTGGCCAAGTGTCTGTTGACTTGTGTCTTACGGGGATAGTAGGAGTAAAGCGAACAGGCCCCAAGATTAGAACTTACGCGAATAGGTCTTGAGCTTAATACTTACGGGGGCAAAGAAGTATCGCTAACAGATCCCGAGAACAGTGATCAGCAGAGCAGATCTGTGTTGTGGGTGAACAAGATGCCGGGAAGTCAAATCCTAGGGGCATAGAGTTCACGGCGCGCGATTGGATAATTGGCCGGCAGCCAAGCCCTGGCAGTTGTGTAAAAGTTTAACCCGATGAGGTTGGACAGACCTCAGAGATACTGCTCTGCGGAGCCCGGGGAAGTCTGAAAAGGCGAGGAACCTGGACAGACCACCCCATGTTAAGTGCTGCAATCTGGGGCGGACCTTTTACTGAGCTCGAAAGGCAGAAACCCTGCAGGTTGCAGACTTATCTAATATAAATAACGTGGAGAAATCCACTAGGAATTATGGAACAGATTTAGATGTGGTTGACTGGACTGTAAACGAAAGTTCAATCACACTTGCTGGGAAATCCCGCTACATGTCAGGTCTGTCGCTAAGTATGGGCACATTTTAACGTATATCCACAAAAACTTATAGATGAAACGAACACATTTCTCATAATAAATAACGGGAAATAAAGAAAACAAACGAAACTGTAATCTGAGAACGGAAATCAATCAAACGGAACATTGGACATTGGGGGTATTGGAAAATGTATAAGGTAGGAGTTGTTTGATCCACAACTTCCTTCCAAATTGACACCACGAAAGGCACGGATGATCAACGTGTTATCTTTATGAGTCAGCCAACTAAATAGAATACCTTCAAAAATTCACCGAAAAGAAAAACTAAACAAAAGTATATTCGACGAATAAAAAGAGAAACCCCAAAAGTGTGTGTGTTTGAGGACCGGTCCGTGTGTACTTGATCGCTCTTTTCCTTTCTCTCCCTCTCCTCGCACTCCGCCGAGGGTGGGTGTGTGAGTGTGTGTGTGTGTGTGTGTTGTGTGTGTGCATGGTGCAAACTAACATGTAAATAATGGTAAATGTTTAACAAGGTGGTTGCAGGAATCCTATAAGCAAGCTAAGATTAACTGTGTTGTCACGGCTCTGTATATGGTGCCTAAAGTTGGGAGATTTGTGACACAAAACAGATTGTTGGTGGGGTTGGACTTTTTCGATTGTGTGCGTAAGGTTGTTGGTGAAGCAGAATTTGGTATTGGTACAGTAGTCTGAGAGAGGTTGAGCAAAGACGCAGTTAGAGTGTGTAAAAGTTGTGTGGTAGGGTGTGGCACAGACAGAGCAGGAGAAGTTGACAGTCCGAGAGTCAGACTGAGACTGAGAGAAATAGGAAGTAAAAGGGGAAGTGAGGTCAATTCCGCTCTCACTCAGCCCCGAACGAGCCCCCACCTTTGCGTGAGCCAAAAATAAAGCTCCCTCTCTCCCCCGCTACTACTCTCATTCAGTGGGAAGCCCCCCCCCACATTTTTTGGGATCCAAGACATACAGCCCTCCCTCGGTGAGGAGCCCCCACCTTCGTGAGAGCTCCCCCGCCCTTCTCTCCCCTAAAGTTCCGAGACCTGGCGAGCAGTTTTTGTTTTTTCTCTCTTCCTTTCCCTCAGCAAGCTGAATATTAAAACTATCGTACCTGCAGTACAAATATATAAACATTGTGTGCATTTTAAAACACTTTTTTTTACAAATATATAAACATTGGGTAAACCTGTGACATAATTTGGCCAGAATTCGTTTCGGGGGACAAGGGACCATGGTTCTGCGAACTTCACATGGGATAAGGACACTCTGTGGCCACAAAAAGAAAAAGGTAGGAGATTTCCTAAAATTTGGTTGAGAGTTCTTTTCCCTGTGAGGTGGTGCGGACTACTGCTCTCTGTCCTCTTCGAATCAGTTGGTTGTGTCAGACCGCCTCACGCTGCTACATGCGTGAGACTATGTGAGAAGCTATAGGCTGGGTGCAGGAAAGCACTGGCCAGTAGCATGGGGAGACAGCTGGGCCTGGGTTGTGATGTGTTTTCTAAGCTGAATGCCTGGTGATAAAAGGTTCTGGGTAATTTTTGGGATAACAAGGGGAGTGGCAGGCACGAGTGTGTCTGTCCGTTGTTGAACTGTGAGTTTGGGCAATTTTTTGTTTTATGAGCTCTGAGAGATACAGATTGGCTTGATGAGCAGGAGATAGAAAAAGACGTCAACAAGGATAGGCTGAAAAGCCTATTCAGGGATCCCAATTGAACAAGCACGTCCCATATCTCCTGACCGATTGTAGAAGAATCACATAAATTGAAAAACTCACACAAATTGGAAAAATTGAAGAAATCAAAACAAGAATTAAAATAGAAGACTGCTGACTGACTCCAGTGACTGACTTTGACTTCAAACACGTGTGAAAGGGTATACCATTGTGTGATGAATAAGTGAAGTGTGTGGGTTGATTGGATGGTTGTGTGTGTCTGTTTTGTTCTGTGTCAACTAAGTTCTCTGGCAGAACTGTTCACAGTCAGACTCTGCACCTGTGTGTGTGTTATGTTAGTCAAAGATTGCTGTGTTCCACACTTGTGTTTATTTCATAGTTGTTTATGTAAATACTGTGCTCATTGCGGTCATGTTATCAGTTGAGACATAGAAGGTTAAATACTCCTGGGAAAGAGGTTCTGTTCTCAGTACCATGATGAACACTCCTGATATAAAGGTTTTAGCTTATGCTTAAATATTATGATGGTTTTTGTTGTGAACACGTCTTATGCTACTTAACAAATTTTCTGTGTTAAAGCTGCTGAACAAATGTTTGTGAAAGTATAAAAGATACAAAAAGGGAAAAAGCAATGAGGTACCACAAGTGCAAAACTCCTAAAACTTCAAATCTAAGAGTTGCTTCTATACATCTGCTGTTTTTGCCAGAACACTGTGTTTTTAAAATATTATTGAAGCTGTTAATATCAATACTGACTATTGCTATAGAACTGCAGTTGAGGCAAAAGCTTTATACTGTGTATTTTTGGGGAATTTTACAAAACTGCTGATCAAGTTTTAATGTGTGTGCTCATTTGGATAATAAACTTTACAAAAACCATGACCAGAAAGGGAAGATTAGATACACATTGGTAGGGTGTAAATATACTGAACACTTAAATGATATCCAAAAACTTACAGAGAAATGGGAACATTGAATCAAGGGGTTTGAATTTTTATGACCTAGGGGAGGCACATCTGATGTGGCTGTGTGTGAGGATTTGGAGCAGCGAATCTAAGGCCATACACATAAAGATAAAAGTAAAACACACAAAAACAAGAGATATGGAACTAAAAGTACCGGACATGTTTAACTCAGCACTTAGATTTTTGTCATTTTTATACTTTAGAGTCCAATTTTAGATTTTAAGTCATACTGGGACCTTTTTGAACCTGATTTCAACTTTCTTCTTGTGTATTTGCTCTTTAAATGCATTACTTTTCTCTTTTTAAATCATGCTCTGATCTTTTGAACTAATAAATAAGAATAGAATAAAAACTAAAATTTTTCTATCTTAGGTTGCCTTTAAAATTATTTATTTATTATTATTATTAGTTTGTCTCTTTTGAATTTCCAAATGATTTAAGATCATTGCTATTTCTTTCCCATAGGTTTTGAAAAGGAAATTGACAGTTTTGGTGAAATTTTGATCCTGTTTGACCCTGAGGCTAGACTTAAATCCGGATTATGGCCCTTGCTGTGGTTGAGTTTGACACCCCTGGCCTAGATTATGTTCGCTTGGAAATGCACTGATAGTATGTTTTCAATCTTAATAAATGGCACACAGGCTAGCTATGTGCTGTGGAAAACCACACACCTTGTTGGGCTGGTTGCCAGACTACCACAAACTGAACAGGGGGCAGGGAGATGGATACGAGTTTTTGAGGATGAACTGTAGGAAAATGTTGACTACACCAGACATGAAAGCACGCTTGGCTAAGCTGCTGGGAACTAAGACGATGGAGGAGTTTCTGCACAAGGAAAAAGGTTGGATGACGAATCCCATGACTGATGGGAGTGAGTTCAATGCATATTGTGATGTGAGGTGGAGCGGAAGTTGAAACAGCCACCTCTAAGGAAGACACGGCAAAAGAGACCCAGCGATGCAGACCGTGCAGACGCTAACTGCGGTAAAACCTGTGACAGTAACCTGTTTAATCACCTGTTGTGAATGTTTATCCTCAGACAGAACCCTGCTCCATAGAGAGGATATATCCCGGCAGGGGGAGAGAGTGGAATTCTGACGGACGTGTGACGTCTATAGACCTGCTGGGGATGTGATCATACCGGACATTTTTGACAACTGCCCAGACCAGGGACGTCTCTGGCTGGATCGGTGGTGGGGGGCCCCAGCCCAGACAATGTGAAAGTGGTGGCTCACTACAGTGTGATTTTTGTGGATGATGGAAAAGGTTAATTATTAGTTTTAATTTTAACCCTGTTTACCTTATAGACCGAAAGGACCTATGTAGATGTAACATTCAAAGTTGGTGCTCAACGCAAGGTGTGTAAGTAGACAGTTATGGTTTATAGTTTTAAAGTAAATATCGTGACATTAACATTGTAACATCCCTGTTCTGTTAGTTTAATACTGATAAATCTAAATGCAGCTGTGCTGAATCCACAAACACTCCTCACAGATGTGCCACCTAATGTAGAAGTAATAGGAAGCTATCAAAGGTCAATAAGGCCACTGAAAATGGTTTAGAGTCAAATAACTAGCTTTGTACCAATAGTATTAACAAACAGACTTAGGATCTGACTTTCACAGTGATTCACGCTGTGAAAGGGGGGAGATGATGAGACAATTAAAACGACATTTTTAGAATATGCTGACAATAGGTGATAAACTTTTGGGTCATTGTGATATGCGTTTTGTTAGATGAATTGAAGAGAACAATAAAACGGAAGTGGGACACTTTTCCAGTTCCAGAGAGACGTTTTTAGAAATCTATTCATAGGTAATGTGGACATGATTAAAACTGCCAAGGCATATGTTACATGTTTGTAAGGATGACGGGTTCAGTCGATGGATGGAAGCAACACCATCAAAAGATCTTGGAGTCAAAATAAATCTGTCATTGCATGATTTGGTACATCATTCTGGGGAAGAAAGTTAATCTCTCAAGTAAATATCAGATCAGAGAATTTGCACTAACACTAACCTATAGGAAGATGCTTTGCTACTTGCGCTTATGAGCTTTCACAATCAAAAGCACTGAGATAAATCTTCCACTGCATGATTGACTAACTTACAAAGCTATGCTTTACTGCGGCTAAATAATTAAGGTTTTCGCTTGAGCAGCTGGAAATTAGTGAAGTAAATATATGAGGCATCTAACTTCGATGCAAAGATCTATCGATTAGCAGGAGGAGTGCCAAAATCTGATCCCGGTCAAGAGGTGGAGGCCAGTCAAGCCAGAGCACCAGGTGTACATCACCGTCCTTTGAGGAGGGTGGCAAAAAGAACGAGGAGAAGACCTGGACACTTTGGTCCTGGTGAACTCTACTTCAGTGCAGGAAGTGGCACGAACCACGACGGGAAGGACCGTACATGGTGGTGCGAGCTACTCCCACAGCAGTCCAGGTCGAAGGGAGCGGGACGTGGTATCACCTGTCGCGCTGCACGAAGGTTCCAGGCAAAACCAAGGGCGGTATTGAGTTGAAAAACAAAGATGGAAAAAACATGACATTGTGGTGTGTGCTGGTGGTAATGCACTCTCCTCTATGGATGCCTGTAGAAGCAGTGGAGCTAGAGACTCAAAGGGGAAAACAGAGCACCCCGGGGACCAGAGCCACGCCAGAGACCAACCCGCACGACAGAGGAGACAGAGCATCTGAATCAGATGAGTATGATGCAACCACACAGACACCAATCCATGACGTGCTAAACTCTGAGCCAGCACTCTCAGCTGAGCTCAAACACATAAACATTCCATACCAAAACATAACTGTTAACTGTAAAATTACGTGGGTATTGTCATGGTTTCCTGAAGCTAATATGAGCGAACCGTTTATAACTAGACCTGTTTGGTTTGAAAATCCAGAGCAAACGTTAGATCGAACATGTGAAAACATAACTATGACCAGACCGAATATGCATTTCTTTCGCAAGTCAAACTGTTGCAGTAGCTGGCAGTTACTGGATGTGTGGAGACAACATTGTGCGAAACACACTTCCACCAAAATGGATTGGGCTCTGTACATTAGTGCGAATGAAAGTGTCAGTTGTCGTGTTGTATGACGGCGTCGAGGAGATCCTTAAAATCCCGGAAGAAACAGCCAAATTGAACCGCCATAAAAGGCAGATTGACGAAAAGGTGTATATCAATAGTATAGGAGTGCCAATAGGAATTCCAGAGGAGTTTAAAGCTCAGGACGAGATTAGAGCAGGTCTAGAGTCGATTCTCCCCTGGATCACCACTAATAAAAATGTCCAATGGATAAATTACATTTATTACAACCAACAGAGGTTTGTTAATGCGACATCTGAGATCCTGAGCGCTCTCGGTATTCAATTACACGCAGCAAGTATAATGGCCCAACAAAATAGACAGGTTTTGAATTGGCTGACAGCGGATAGGGGAGGAGTATGTCACATGTTCGGGAAACATTGTTGTACCTTTATCCCAAATAATACAGCCCCCGATGGTATATTTTCTGTGGCAATGGGGAAGCTTACAGAATTCAGAGTTGAGCTCAGGGAGAGTGCGGGCAAGGGGGGACTGTCATGGGATTGGTTTGACCAAATTTTAGGAAAACGGGGAGCCGTTTGGGCTAAGATAGGACTCAGTGCACTAGCAGTCCTAATTCTAGTTTCCTTTTTGACATGTTGCATCATCCCCATCCTGAGGAGGCAGTGTCTGCGGGCTCTGGGCAGACAGGTGACTGTGGCGACTGGTCTCCAAAAAGCTCAAATGTTGGACTTGCTGACGCCGTCCCAAATGGCACAACTCAGTTTGAACGACAGCAAGGCGGGAAACGGGGACTATATGGACTTAAACCCAAACCCTGCCTGTGTGAGTGACTCTGATGAGGACGAACAGAGTCAAGTGTAAGGTAAACAAGGAGCAGAGGTGCAGCAGCAGCGAGCGAGCAAAAGGAAAAGCGAATGGGACGACGGAGCAAATGGACTATCATACCAATACACACATATCCTGCAGTTATCCATGTGTATTCTGCATACCCATCATCATTAACACATACTCATTCCAGGTAGATGGAAACAGGTAAAGGAAATGGTTGATCATTTTTTGAGCAAAATAAAACATGTGGTTGATTGTCATGTAGAGTGGGTCAGTGAAAAGCTGTTAGATTTAGAAGGTTCACGGTAAAGGTCGCCAGCGGGAGGGGCCGCAGGGGAATTTCCTGCTCAAAGCAGCCAGCAGGTTTTCGCCCCTGCCAGATGTGAACCGAGGGATTTAAGTGTTGTATTTGTGAAAATGTAACATTCGTGATCACAAGCATGAGTTGGATTGGTTTGAAAACATACATATGCATCTGTAATCAATCAAGTAGTACCATATCACATAACGTTGTCATAACTCATTCATGTAACGTAACTAGGGCTAAGACAAGATAAGTGTGAATCTCCAACGGCGTCAGTGAACTTGGTTAATCTTGAAAAGATTCAAAGGGGGGATATGTGGGGGAAAATAACAGATATGTTTGGATGTTTTGGAGGTTACCATGAGGCAAGAAAACAGGTTATGGGTGGAGTGGTCAGATTGGGATAAACTTCATATCAGGTCATGGTGACCCTCTCCCATGGTAGCTTGATTGCAATAACAGGAAATCTGGCTCCAAAAGATAGTGGCAGAGAAAGTCATGAAGGGGACTTTCGCACGCACATTTGGCTAAAACTAAGGTCCCTGACGTCAATGGAGGACTATAAAAGATATGTGGATGGACTGTTTTTGGTTCTGTCTGTTCGATTGCTCATGAGCTATTGTTCGATGCTGTGATCGGAATAAAAACCCCGCCGAGAGGCTGCCAGCTTGATTCTGTCTTCGTGTAGTTCATTTCTGCACTTTTGCACCGAGGTCATCTTCTAAAACATGTAGGCAATTTCCGAAAACGCCGCATCTGCAGAACCCATGGCTGCTTTGCGGCTTCTTTCCGTTCGCTGGACTCCGCAGCTGATTAAAAGAGTTCTATTTATTCGGATGCTGGAGTATGTCGGATAAATTCAGCACAGATTAACCCGTGCTGTAAAGGGTTCTTGTGAGTTCTCGTGATTACGGCTGCCACGAAATTCATCTCACAAACGGATCCAGTAGGAATCGGTGGACGGTGAAAAATCGCTGCTGTTCCGGATCGCAACTGTTCTGGATGCAGTGGAAATTCAGGGCTAGGGGGTTCATGTATTCTACGATTGACACTTGATACAGCCTATGGGCGCACAAAGATTGCGTAGCACACACCGGGGATACGCTGTTTGAGCCGAGCGTCATCTCAGCGACTCTCCCGTTGAGTGCGTACAATGCTACTGCGCAAGTGGTGCTTCCAGGAAGTGGAGAAATTCCTGGAAATACTGAGAGCAATTCGGCTTCAAATTCATAAAATGAAAGAACGCGAAGCCAAGTACAATCTATGTCTGTGTCTATGGTCCTACAAAACCAACCCGAAATGCCTTGTTACTCTTTTAGCTATCTGATAGCATAGCTCACCAGCTAACACCAGCCATGATACTCAATAATGTAACTTAGTGCACACATGACGGCTACTTATTCCAGGTTTTATCCCGTCAGGTCAAGGTGGACAGTAAATGGAGAATTTCCTCTTTAAAGTCTTTGTTGAACATTTCTTGGCTTAATTAGAGAAACTTACTGGGTTTAAGTTTGATTATAACCCTAAAAGTTCCTGGAGCATTCAGAGATTAAGTCCTGAAAGTCTCCTGTGTCTCTCCCGGTTTCTCTGCCTTTACAATAGTGACAGAAGATCCATGCAGTCCTACTCTAGAATTACACCAGAGCCCATGAAAATAACCTCAGTGACAGCTTTAGTTTAGCCCCTATATGCTTTTCAAACAGCATGTCTCAACATTAAACTGTAATTATAAAAGTATAGATATTTTCAGAGGTCTCGAAATCAGCACTAACTACACCCGTGTTTACAGTATGATCAGTTTGAGCAGAAAGATGTTCTGTTGAGCTGTTTCTGTATAACATAATTTGATTTCACATTCATAAGACAGTCTTTGCATTCTGGTGGCAGGACGTCCACAAGCCACACCGCTGTACCGCTGTCACAGAGCTGCGGATCCCCCACGAGTTTCTACCTCCCTTGATCTGTGTCCATCTGTGTTTCTGATGGTTCGCCTGCAGAGCCAGCCTCTGTCATTTGTTCCAGCATGTCCCTGTTCAGTCTGTGTTACACTGTGGGAACAAGAACCGCAAGAACCCCTGGAGGGATTTGAGATCTTAACAATGTTGGAGTAAATTTTCAGTAGGTGGGGTGGAAGAGACAGAAACAGACACAGGAACATGCATAAAATTGAATGGCACAGAATAGGAGGAGACATGGGTGACGCAGAAGACGCACTTTTAGTCCAAACATGTTTTTAGTATGAGGCTGAAATACTCCCGACGAAAAGTAATTGGAAAAATATGAGGGGGGGAAATGGCAGATTTAACAATGAAGGCCTTTTGTTCTGCAGTAACTTCCTTACACACACATTCGCCTTTTTATAGGAAGTTGATTTGAACAATGCATCAAATGGGACTCCTACTCTTTGTGTTTTTTTGTACTAGTTTTTAATAAAAAAGGAAGATATGGAGATTTTTAGGTTAGCATGTTATATGGTATCTGTAGAGCATTTAAAACCCCAGGACCAAAGGAGTTTAAATCTAATTTAAGGGCACAAAATGAACCAAATGCTCAAATCAAAACCTCCCTAAGATCCTGTGATGTTTTGACAAGATTTTTCTTGTCAAACAACTTACAAACACGACCTTTAAATCTTTCTGTTTGTCAGCTGGTGTGACTTAAAATCTCTGGGATGTTTGATTGAAAGTTCTCACAGCTGTCACTTACAATGTACGTCTCACAGCGTGTCACAACCCTCTGCTTAATCCTCTCCAAATTCACATTTTTGAACCAAAATTCTTCTCATGCTGTGATCCGTCTTTGTTTCTCTCTCTGCACCAAACTGTTCCACCAAACTCCTGCTATGCCTCTGACACATTTTAATATTTCATCCCTGCACTGAGGCCTTTCCCCGAACAGTCTTGGAACTGGTTTCCATAGCGGGGATCATTACATGAGCAACCAGAAAGACACTTATGAGCATGTAAAATCAGCATATTTTCCCCAAGTGGCCGGGAATCATCTGACTATGATTTCCACGTCGATTTAAACCATGAAAACTAACATTCAGGCCAACAGAGTGTGAGCATTCAGGAGTTCAGCACATTGTTGTCTTTGCATTTGTGTGACGGGTTGATTGCTTGGATGTGAGATCTTAAGTGGATGTGTTTAATGTGAAATGGACTCTTTGTTTGGTGGTTTTTGCATCACAGGCCCTGGAATCAGGGTTGCCAGGTTTGGTGAGAGAAAAAAGCGAGCAGGTCTTCAGTATAATAAGCCCAAAAACACGGCCCCACCAGTTTAGTTTTTGGTAGGGCTGCACAATTTTGGCCAAAAATAAAATCCTGATTTTTTTTGACAACTTCACCAAACTTCCTCTATCATCTCTCAAAAAAATGCTGTTTCTGTGTGGATAAAACGCTGATATGACAAAAAACTTTAGCGTTTACTCCTGAATTCGTTTCCATGTGGACGGGTTGATACCGCCTTCCTTCAGACAGACTTTGCAGCGGGGAGTGGTTTACTCTTCATCTGAAACTATGAAGCCGTACAAATTCAACATGACTGACTTGTTCTTGTCCTATTTAACCACGAAATTATCGCCTTCTTTTGCAAATGCCATGTTTGTTTACACTGGTGTGTGTGGGAACTGGGGAGTGCTCCTGCAGGAAGGGGGAGCCTACGGTGGCCTGGAGGCACGAGACATGATAGAGAGGAAAACCCATTTTACTACTTTATTTTTTTAAACATCATCATAATTAAATAATCTGATTATGATTGAAAATTGATGAATCGTACAGCCCTACACCACAGCTTAAATGATATCCGACAGGCTTTTGTAGAGTCCACCGTCGACTCATTATTTGTCTCGTCTCATGATAATGTCTGTTAACCTGTTTGAGACAGGAAAGGTGTCAGGTGTTTTTGTGTTTCTCCCTGCTGGATGGTGGATGAGCTCTGTATGAAGTACACGAATCTCACTCTCACAAACTTGACTAAGTGACTTGACCTTCATTTATTTTCTTTCTCACAATCTTTCCATATTTTTCTGACAAATCCTGTGATCTTTTTCTCTGTTATCTGTGTGCTTGAGGGGGAAAGCCATGCATTCAGACCCTGTAATAGGAAACTTTATTGGACTAAAATACATGAAAAACAGAAGGAGTTCATACTGGAAATAAAGCAAACCCAAATAAGCAACAACACTTTAGGAAGAAGCCCAAAAACACAACCCATGGCTGACAATTCTTGCTCCCCTGTGTTGCCAGAAAAACAACCCAGTTGGCACAGCTGCTCGTAATGGTTATGACACAATCCTTTAAACAGATTCACGTCAAATCTGGTGTACAAGATGCACTTCTGATGCAATTTTGGTCAATGCACTATCATAAATGTAGAGACTTATTCTAGTGTGTTACAAACAACCACTTTGCAAATCCTGGTGGATATTCAGTGAGGCAGAACAGCCAAGCAGTGTCACCTTTTATTGCTTTTACACCTTAGGTCATAGTCATAATTCGGTGGTATCATTTCAAGAAAGTGAACTTTATGAGTCAGGCTGTGGCGGATTCTTTAAGCATTGATATGGAGCTGCTGATAAGCACACAGTTATACAGAGTTCAGAGTAGTGGGTCTTTAATGCTGGTTGACACATGTCGTAAAACTGAGGTGATACATGAACAGCAGCTCTCCAGAAGCCCTCTGAGAGACGATAAAGTGCTTTTTGTTTTGTTACCGCATTATTCTGTGGCCATAATAACTGAGAGGTGAAAATCTGATATTGTAACACAGCACACCATAGAAGTCTCTGCACAAGAACACATTTCAAATCCCCAAAACAGACTGTGCTTGATATACAATCTAGATTTTGCAGTAATTGTACATTACAGAGCTGCCAAGCGTCACGCTTTGAGTGTAACAGTCACGCAATTTGACCCATTTTCACACCACACACTACACTTGACATTTCTCACGCTTATGTTTCCCCATTCAGTACTCTGTATTTATTTTTTTAGTGATAATAAACTTGGCCTGCCGTAGTTCGAGTAACTCTGATTGACTGACCGAGATAACCAATCCCAGACCAATCCATCAGTCCTTTTTGACTAAATCTAACCAACCACAGAAGGCACCACGCAATATAAACCAATCAGAAGTAACGTAAGGCGGGTCTTGGCATCTCTAACTATCGTAAACACACAACAGCGCCGACATTTAAAATTTTGATCAAACAAAATTATTCCAAATTAGTTCACTTTTTGAGGACAAATATTGCTATTCTGAGGTTATTTTGAGGCTATTTTGAGCTTTAGGTTTTTTCGCTGCACACAGGTCGTCTCAAGGTCCTTTCACACCGGGAGTTTTTTTTTCATGCGATTATTTCAGACATCAATATTTTTTTTCCAACCCATTTCCTGTCAATACAAGCGTTCACATCAGCGACGTTTTCCCGTCCTGCGATATTGCTGCATTTATTTTTTTGTTTCACGGTCGATTTTTCTAACGTTTCGCATACTGTGTGTCCACTTCTGACCAATCAGATTGCGTGTTTGTGCAACGTCAGATTCAGCGGTATATCCAAACATGGCAGACAGGCTGATTGTTTACGTGTTGGAGAACAGAGTGCTTTTTTATAAAAGACACAAATATTACAAAGATAACGAGTCAGATTTCTCATATGACGATGGTTTGTG